CGTTCACCACAGCAGACACACAAGTGGTGCTGCCGGCACCATTCTTTTTCTTTAGGATTCAGCTGCTGACAAGCCACATTGGCTTGTATCAATTCAGCGGGTATCAATTCAGAAGGTCATGGCACGTGGGTAGAGGGACTGCAGGGACCCCCTTTTCTCCTCTCTTTATTCTCGCTGACCATCATCAATGCAGATGGTAAGGCCCACAAGGGCATCTAGGCCCTATGGCCCTATGTATCTCTACATGGACCAGTTCATCTTTAATTTGTTCCTGCAAGCCCCACTGCAATTAGTACAGGTGTGCTGCTTCATTCCACTCTGTATCCACTGTGAGGTGGTGGAAGTGTGCTGCGCAGGATGCCACTGTGCCTTGCCCCTGCTGGAGTCTCCTCAGGGTGGCCTCAGCTGTTCAAACTCAGTGCGGGTCATCAAAGATAGCTGACATTGACTGTAGAAAATCTTCCCAGTTTGACAGTACCAGGCTATGGCCTTTTGGCAGAGGGAACAAAAAAACGTAAGAATGGCAATACTAGGTTGACCAAAGGTCCATCTAGCCCAGTATCATGGCCAGGTCGTGCACAGCCAGACCTAATGATCAGAGCCAGAGTCCACACTCACGAGCCAGGAGTCAAAAGTCAGCTGTGTCAGGATACTGGAAGGTCAGAAGCAGGAGACAAACTTAAGATCAGAACCATGAGTCAGGCCATGTCAGGATATCTGGGGCTCGGAGGAAGGAGATCAACTGAAGATCAGAACCATGAATCAGATGCCACGAAATCAAGCTGGGGGAGCAGGAAGCGCAAGATGCACAGTCCAGAACAGGGAGGGGCCCAGTTGTTCAGACACCTTCCTGTTCTTGCTGCTGGCTTCAGTAAGGCCAGCAGGCCCATCAGCTGTTTCAGGACTCTGCCAATAGGACCTCAGGGGCAGAGCTTCAAACTGGGACTGGGCTTCATGGGCCCTAGGTAAGCAGTTGGCAGCAGGCTGCTGGGTGGAGGATGGAGTTTGGCTTCACCCTGTGGACTCAAATTCAAGACCCATGAGTCATGACATGCAGCTAGTTCTTTAGGTGTTTGTTTATAAAAAAAACAAAACAAAAGATCATCCTATGTTCCACTTGATGATGATGATACCCCACCTTCTTCTTCAGCTTCTTCTACATGTGCCAAAGAAGGAATTATTAAATGCCAAAAATGCATTAATGTGGAGATAAGGTTGGGACAAAATACAACATGGTTTTACAAAAGGTAGATCGTGCCAAACCAACCTAATATCCTTCTTTGAGAAGGTAACAGATTTTCTAGGCAAAGGAAATGTAGTGGATCTAATTTACCTCGATTTCAGTAAGGCATTTGATACAGTTCCACATGGGGAATTATTAGCTAAATTGGAAAAGATGGGGATCAATATGAAAATTGAAAGGTGGATAAGGAACTGGTTAAAGGGGAGACTACAACGGGTCGTACTGAAAGGTGAACTGTCAGGCTGGAGGGAGGTTGCTAGTGGAGTTCCTCAGGGATCGGTTTTGGGACCAATCTTATTTAATCTTTTTATTACTGACCTTGGCACAAAAAGTGGGAATGTGCTAATAAAGTTTGCGGATGACACAAAGCTGGGAGGTATTGCCAATACAGAGAAGGACTGGGATATCCTACAGGAAGATCTGGATGACCTTGTAAACTGGAGTAATAGTAATAGGATGAAATTTAATAGTGAAAAGTGCAAGGTCATGCATTTATGGATTAATAAAAAGAATTATTGTTATAAGTTGGGGATGCATCAGTTGGAAATAACAGAGGAGGAGAAGGACCTTGGAATATTGGTTGATCACAGGATGACTGAGCCACCAATGTGATATGGCCATGAAAAAAGCTAATGTGGTCTTGGGATGCATCAGGCGAGGTATTTCCAGTAGAGATAAGGAGGTGTTAGTACCGTTATACAAGGCACTGGTCAGACCTCATCTGGAATACTGTGTGCAGTTCTGGTCTCCCATGTTTAAGAAGGATGAATTCAAACTGGAACAGGTACAGAAAAGGGCTACTAGGATGATCTGAGGAATGGAAAACCTGTCTTATAAAAGGAGACTCAAAGAGCTTGGCTTGTTTAGCCTAACCAAAAGAAGGCTGAGGGGAGATATGATTGCTCTCTATAAATATATCAGAGGGATAAATACCAGCGAGGGAGAGGAATTATTTAAATTCAGTACCAATGTGGACACCAGAACAAATGGATATAAACTGGCCATCAGGAAGTTTAGATTTGAAATTAGACAAAAGATTCTAACCATCAGAGGAGTGAAGTTCTGGAACAGCCTTCCAAGGGAAGCAGTGGGGGCAAAAGACATATCTGGCTTCAAGACTAAGCTTGATAAGTTTATGGAGGGGATGGTATAATGGGATAGTCTAATTTTGGCAATTAATTGGTCTTTGACTATTAGCGATAAATATGCCCAATGGCCTGTGATGGGATGTTAGATGGAGTGGGATCTGAGTTACGACAGAGAATTCTTTCCTGGGTGTCTGGCTCGTGAGACTTGCCCACATGCTCAGGGTTTAGCTGATCACCATATTTGGGGTTGGGAAGGAATTTTCCTCCAGGGAAGATTGGCAGAGGCCCTGGGGGTTTTTCGCCTTCCTCTGCAGCGTGGGGCATGGGTCACTTGCTGGAGGATTCTCTGCACCTTGAAGTCTTTAAACCATGATTTGAGGACTTCAGTGGCTCAGACATAGGTTTGATACAGGAGTAGGTGGGTGAGATTCTCCTGCCCTATGCTGCTGTATACACATGTTGTAGGCAACAGCTTACTGGAGGGTCACATGTTACTTTGTTTATGTAGCCCAAGGTGTATGCTGAGTTGGGCCCTTTCTGCCTTCTACTCACCTCCAGCTGTGACTCCTGCCTTGGCTTCAGCCAGGCTTCCCCAGCCATGCCCCAGGTTGACCCACTCTACTTCTCCAATGTGGTCCTCTCCCTGACATGCCCTGCCCCCTACCAGGACATGTCCAAACAGAATGCCCCCTTATGGAATGTGAGTATGCGCAGGTATGGAGAGCAGAACAAGGACCCATTAAAATAATGGTCCCTGTATAGATCAATGGGACAAAAGTACAAGGTCTGTTGGACTTTCTACCAGGGCTAAGGCAGCTTCTATGGCTTTTCCCAAACACGTTCCTCTTGTGGAAATTTGTAGAGCAACAACCTGGACTTCAATGCATACTTTCACTAAGTACTACTCATTAGACTTAGAGTCTATATCAGATGCAAAGTGTAGTATGGCTCTTCTGCAATCATTGTTCAGTTAGGACTCCATATCCCACCATTTTGGGTTACAGTTACTGCTTGTTCGTCTATCCCATGAGTGGACGTATGCAGAGACCCCGCAAAGAAATAATTAAGATTACTTTTGTGTAACTAGGGTTCTTTGAGATGGACTCTGCATATAGATACTCCCCGCCCATCTTTCCCCATTTCCTTGGAATCCTACTTACCAAGGGACCTGGGATGTCGGGGGAAGGAACTGAGGTGGCTGGAGAGCCACACCCTTTTATACCCTTACCATCTTGGGTTCCACCAATCAGAGCATCCCATGCGTGTGAATATGCAGAGTCCATCTCAAAGAACTCTGATTACAGGTAAATAACCTTCATTTTTCTAAGATTACCTTTCATAGGCCCTTGCTAGAACATCTCTCTCCCCCCCATCCCCCAGTTCTCCAAAGGCACAATGTCTGGTTCTTTCTGATCGTTCTTCTCCCTCCTAGCCCCTGCTGGGAGAGAGGATATTCCTTTCAAAACAGCTTTGTCTATCATCATGTTAGAAACAAGATGCAGAAGAAAGAATTTCTCACTTGGGAATTTTTTTCTGTGAACCAAGTCCAAAACTACACATCCCCCACACTTCAGTTACTGACTAACCTAAGCTGAAGTTATAGTTTTGCTAAACTTTGACTGGAGAGGAGTCAGTGGAAAAAGTTGGAAAATTCTTAACTACTACTGGTAGGCTCTAAGTTGATTTACATATAGAGGAAGACTACCGATCTGGTCTGTACTGATGGAATCAGTCTGCAGGAAAGAATGACCTAGGTATGGAACTCTATTTTTAAACTGGGATTTATTATAAAATCAAAAGTATTTTAATTCATTTAAATTTTAACTTGTTGACCAGAGAATATTCCATTGAAAATGTAATACAGGTTGATTTGGTGCTACAGTATATACATTTTTTAATGATCAGTGTTATTCCTGAGCCAAGCATAGTTAGTCTGATTTTATATCTAGGGGTACGTCTACACTACGAGATTAATTCGAATTTAGATAATTCGAATTTGGGAAACAGATTGTATAAATTCGATTGTGCGCGGCCACACTAAGCACATTAATTCGGTTTTTAACCACATTAATTCGGTGGTGTGCGGCCACACTACCCCATTAATTTTAACCACATTAATTCGGTGGTGTGCGGCCACACTACCCCTAATTCGAATTTACAAAATCGATTTTGGTGCTACTCCGCTCGTCGGGGTGGAGTACAGAAATCGATTTTAAGCGCCCTTTAATTCGAAGTAACTGGCTCCGTTGTGTGGACGAGTTAAGGATTAATTCGGATTAACGCAGCTAAATCCGAATTAAAGTCGTAGTGTAGACCAGGCCTAAGTGCATAGTCAGTTGGTCTCCATTCTATGTTGTGTGTTAGAGAAGTTCATTTAATTTTAAATCAGATCTTCAAATTTTATCTGGGTGAATGGCTTGAAGGTAATACATGTTTCTGCTTCAAGAAGAATGTTGTTTGGGTTGCAAAGTCAAGCACTTAAAAATTAGGAAAATGCCACATTTAAGATTCCCATTATATCTTTGTGGATCCATCTTGAGTGCTGAATGAAGCTATTAGTTCCATTTTCTATTGTTTAAATTTGTCTAGCTTCAATTTCCAGCCATTGGATTTTGATATATTGACAGATTAAAGTGCTCTCTAGTATTAGATATTTTCTCGCTGTGCAGGCGGATATTGTGCACAGAGTTCAGTAACTGCTCCAGAGGATTCTATTTCGACACAATAAGAAAACCAGGAAAAACATGCCTTCTTAACATACCAGAAAAGAAAATATTTGGAACACAGACGTGTGGTAATGGTAAACTAGAAGATGAGGAGGAATGTGACTGTGGTATGGATGAGGTTAGTAATTAAATACTTTAGCTTCATGCACATTTTACAGAAGTATTGTTAAGATTGGTTTATCCAACTTCAAAACTACTCCGTGAGACATATGGTTTTACGATGGAAGTGCTGTTCATGGTTCTATAGTTAAGACTAAAAGTTGAGTTTTGCATTTAAAATAGGATTCAACTATTTTTTTATTATGTATGAAGAACACATCTTATGCACATCAAAATTACAGCTTTGAGTACAAAGAAAATTACTCCTTGAGTACACAATAAATTATGAGGATGTTTAAAAAAAAACAGGAATACATTTCCCCCTTCTGTTTAATTAATCCATAAACTCAGGGACCACACCGTATGACTGGAGAATTGCTTAATATAGTACCTATTTTTAAGAAAGGGAAAAAAGCGATCCAGGAAATTACAGGCCTGTTAGAATGACCTCAATTGTATGCAAGATCTTGTAACAAATTTTGATAGTGAAAGTAGTTAAGTACATAGAGGTAAACAGCAATTAGGGTAAAATACAACATGGTTTTATAAAAGTTAGATCATGCCAGAGCAACCTGATCTCTTTCTTTGTGAAGATTACTGATTTTTTAAGACAAAGGAAGTGCAGTAGATCAAATCTACCTGGATTTCAGTAATGCATTTTATACAGTTACACATGAGAAATTATTAGTTAAATTGGAGAAGATGGGGATTAATATGAGAATTCAAAGGTGGATAAGGAACTGGTGAAAGGGGAGACTGCAACACATCATATTGAAAGGGTAGCTGTCAGGCTAGAGGGAGGCTACTGGTGGAGTTCCTCGGGGATCGGTCTTGGGGCCAATCTGATTTAACATTTTTATTGGCACAAAAAGTGGAAGTGTGCTAATAAAATTCGCAGCTGACACAGTCAGGAGGCCAATATGGAGGAGGATCAGAATATCATACAAGAAGATCTTGATCACCTTGAAAATGGACTAACAGAAACGGGATGAAATTTAATAGTGCAAAGTGCAAGGTCATGCACTTGAGGACTAAGAATAAGAATTTTTTTTAAAAGCTGGGGACTTATCAGTTGGAAACAAAGGAGGAGAAAGTTTTGGGGTGTATTGGTTGATCACAGGATGACTATGAGCCACCAATGTGATTCATCTGTGAAAAAGGCTAATGCATTCCTAGGATGCATCAGGTGAGGTGTTTCCTGTAGAGATAGGGAAGTGTTAGTACCATTATACAAGGCACTGGTGAGACCTCATCTGGAATATTGTGTGCAATTCTGGTCTCCCATTTTAAAGAAAGATGAAATCAAACTGAAACAAATGCAGAGAAGGACTATTAGGATGATCAGAAGAATGGAAAACCTACCTTATGAGAAGAGACTGAAAGAGCTTAGCCTAACCAAGAGAAGGCTAACAAAGAGATGGCTTAACCAAGAGAAGGCCTAACCAAGAGCAGGCTTAGCCTAACCAAGAGAAGGCTGAGAGAAGATTTCATTGCTCTCTATAAATACATAAGAGGGATAAAGAGGGAGAGGAGTCATTTAATTTAATTTAAGCACCAATGTGGACACAAGAACAAATGGATATAACTGTCCATCAACAAGTTTAGGCTTGAAATGAGATGGTGGTTTCTTACCATCAGTGGAGTGAAGTTCTGGAACATCCTTTCAAAGGGAACAGTGGGGGCAAAAAACCTAACTGGTTTCAAGATTGAGCTTGATATGTTTATGGAGGGGGATGGTATGATGAGACTGTCTACAATGGAATGTAGCCAATCTGTGACTGAAAGTAGCAAATATCTCTAACAGCCCATGATGAGACAAAGATAGGGCGGTATCTGAGTTACTACAGAGAATACTTTCCCTGGTGTCTGGCTGTTTGGTTTTCTGCAATGCTAAAGGTCCAAATGACCTCCATATTTGTGGTCAGGAAGGAATTTCCCCCCAAGTCAGATTGGCAGAGACTCGGGGTAGGGGGAATTTGCCTTCCTTTGCAGCATGGGGTATGGGGCACTTGCAGGTTTAAACTAGAGGAAATGGTGGATTCTCTGTAACTTTAAGTCTTTAAATCATGATTTGAGGACTTCAGTAACTCAACCAGAGGTTATGGGTCCATTACAAGAGTGGGTGGGCAAGGTTCTGTGTCCTGCAATGTACGTCCAGACTAGATGATCATGATGGTCCTTTTTGGCCTTAAAGTGTATCAGTTTGAGCCCAGTACTGATCATAAGGTCTACAACTTCTACAATAGGTACTAACACCTCCCTATCTCTACAGAAGTCATGAATAATGAGGCACCACTTTGTGTGCATTTCTTGTGTGAATTCTACTGTATGTATTACTTGCCTACAAACAGGATGAAGCCCTTTGTATACAAACCTAGCCCTATCTTCCATGGCCACAGAGAGCCCTTTTGCAAGAGGCCTATGTGCTTCCACTGGTAAAGGGAGGGTGCAACAGATGTGGGGGGATTGTACAAAGGGTGTGCAACGCACAAACCCCCTGCAATCTTTACTTCAGCCGTTGGGATGTAGCTTTTGTGGAACAAAGAACTGGAAGTCATTGAGTCCAGTCCCCTGCTATCGCAGGCAATCCCTTCATATAATCCCATCAAGTTCCATCTTAAAACTAGTTAGTTTGCCCCCTACTACTCCTACTGGAAAGCTGTTCCAGAACCTCACGCCTCTGATAGTTACTTCTAATTTCCAGCCTGATTTTATTTATGGCCAGTTTATTGTCCTGGGTAGGCTGGCTTCTTTCCTTTTTATGTATCTTCAGAACGCATGCCAGACTTACTCGGTCCTAGTGTTTAAATTTGATTTCCTAACACTTGTGTTAATGTCAACGCTCAAGTCTTGTATGCAGTAGTCAAGTCTGGAGAAAGACTGATGGGTTAGCCATGCACACAGAGGGAACTGATAGTTTTTTCTTCTGCTTCTTCCTCTTACCCCACTAGTGGCACTAAACCTGGACCCCAGCAGGAGTGGTCAGAAGTACTGGACCCTTACTTCTTCTTTGAATGCTGTCCCTGTGGGTGCTCCACTTCAGGTGTTGGTGCATCCCAGCACCATTGATCAAAGATTTATGGTAGCAATGTCCATGCACTAGTCTGTCCTCAGCTGAAGATAGAGCTCTGGGGCAGTGTTCATCACTCTCGACAAACCTTTAGAAAAATAAGTTTCAGTAGTCATTTAAAAAGTTATAGTTAGTGCTGGTGCTAGTTTTAATTAAAAAAAACATTTACTTTTCCCAGTTTTACCCTCCCCGTAGTTTCCCCGCACTGGGGTTGCATAACCATTAGAGATGCCTGGCTCCCTAGGCTTTAAGCGATGCTGCTCTTTCCGTGGAGCAATGCCCATTTCTGACAGGCACTCTGTGTGTCCAAGGTCTCAGGGAGGTGCATATCCTGCAAAAACGCGCCTACTGCAGTAATCTGAAATAAGAGCCCGGCGTGACCAGGATCTCTGCTTTAAAATGATACTGATGGAGAAATCTCTCCAACCAGAGGCAGACCAATGGATCTCTTGGCAGGGACAGGAGACATGCCTTCCTCTAAAAGACTGAGGAAGCGGGCACAGTTGTCTCCGCAGAGAGCACCACAGAAACATAGGCGGTCTCTCCCCATTGGCACCGATGGTACCGACATCAGAACCACCACAAAATCTACTGCAACAGAGCGATTTGTCTGTCTTGTTGGCACTGCAGTCCCTACTATTTGGTACTGAGGGCTCTCCTGTAAGTTATAGAAGAGATCCCCTAATTCTTATAACGCTGTACACTCGTCCAGTGAAGATGATGATGATGTGCAAGAACCATGCACTTTTTCACCACATCACTCATCACCAAAAGAGCGACGACCACCCTGGAGCCAGATGGAATCCAAATGCCCTTACAACCAGATAGCTCAACTGTGGTACGGACCGCTGTGGATGTATCCACTAATAGCCTTCCCAATGCAATGGGCCCAACCCTAGGCAATTTACCAGGGCCCCCGCTCCAGGCCACCCACGGCTCATAGAGGCGAGCTGATGTCTAATCCCACATCTCCCATCCTGCAGTCAATGGAGGCTCAGGATGTTGGGGATAACACAGAAACAGGCACAGATCAGGAAATGACATCTCGAGCTCACAAGTCTTCCTCCTCCCGAGATGAGGCAATTATGCCACCGCTGCCTATCTCGGTGGATGACTTCAAACAGTTTCAGGAACTGTTTAAGTGGGTTGTCCGAAGCCAGGACATCCCGTTGGAGGAAGTGCAGACAAACCAGCACAAGCTGGAACAAATTCTACAACCTTCATCTGCTTGCAAAAGCACTCTGCCCATCAATGATGTGATTTTGAAACCAGCAGAGAATCTGGCAGACACCAACCTCAATTCCGCCGACATGCAAAAGGGCGGATAAGAAGTATTCATCCCCGCCAAAGGGGTGGACTTCCTCTTCTCACACCCACCTCCCAACTCCTTGGTGGTCAACGCAGCTAATCAACATGGCAAACAACAACAGTTTAGATCGACTGAACAAGATAAGGAACACAAGAGGCTCGATCTCTTCAGGCAAAAAGCTTACTCCTCGGCGACATTTCAATTCCAAGTCACCAACTATTCAGTCTTGTTGGCTAAATATGATTATGATAACTATGGCAAACTTAGCTCATTCACGGTGGCGCTCCCCAAGGAGAAATGATCACAATTTCAGGCCATTGTAAATGAGGGTCAACTCATAACTGTCTCAGAACAATGGTTGCACTCTTCACTCGAATCCAGAGAAACTCTATCTTCAAGTGTAGCTCCTGTATGGTTCGATTGTGGCGAACTAGCCTGCTTGGAACAAGTTAAACACATATTACTAAACAGCAGGAAAGTGACCATGCATAATAACTTCCTTCAAACATGGAAAAGATTCCCTGCCTGGCGTGAAGAAAAATATGCAACGGCCTCCACAGCGTTACTACCATTAGTGTCGGAATACCTACTGGAGCTGAAACGTTCGGGTTTAGCAATGAGCTCAATCAAAGTCTATCTT